ATAATAATAATAATAATAATAATAATAATAATACTTGGTTGATACCTAGGATGCTAGCAGCAACTCATCAGCATGCCATCAGCACCAGTCAGTGATATTTGTGGTACATTTTTAAATGCTCAAGTTGACGGACTTTCATGTTTAATGAATAAAAGAGATAATAACAAAAAACAATACTATATTTTTAAATGTTCATTTGACTGAGTTGACTGGTTCATGTTTAATGAATAAAAGAATACTAATACTAATAACGTTCAGTTGACTTCAGTTGACTGATTCATGTTTAATGAATAAAATAATAATAATAGTGATAATAATGATAATAATAATAATGGCAGCAACCCATATCAACCATCAGCGCCAGTCAATATTTGTGATATATTTTTAAATGTTCGGTTGACTGACTTTCATTTTTAATAAATGAAAATACAATAACAATAACAACAACAATAACAACAACAATAAGAATATTTTTAAAGATTTAGTTCGCATTTATATGAGTTTAAATATCTGTATCAATATAGTTGGTTTGTGAGTATTTGGGGGGGTGCAGAACATGTGCAAGCAATTTGTAGGGGTCCTATAGAAATCCAACAGTGAAACATATATGAAGAAATGGCTGCATCCAATTGACTGTTTTATGTGAGCTTCAGGTGTCCTGAAAACTTTCCATGGAAATGCCCTTTCTCAGATCTTTATAATACATCTTTGCAATGCTAAGAAAAGAAACACAATACAAGAAATTAAGTTCAGATGTTTAAAAAATAAGCAGTTATTGAATTCAGATTCACCACATCTTAACATTCATTCAGTGAAAAGAAAAGTACTATGTAACTAGTTCTACAAACTGGAGGAAAATTCTGGTTTAAGGTTCATCAAATGCTGGTCCACTTTTAATTTATTTTTTTATAACACATCCTGTTTCAGGGATTTCTAAGATAACAATCTATGAAACAATTCAATATTGATATTTTTGAAAAATGTAAGTTATGTAACTAAGCTATAAGAAAATAGCCAGGTTTTAACCATGTACCACAATGAAATCTGTCAGCACCAGCAAAACTAAATGAGAAATTTCAATAATAGATGGTGTGTAGCAAACCTCTTTTGAAATCAGTTGAAATATCAGATCAGATGAGTAAAGGACAATATTTCTGTTTATTGCTGATTGAAACCCCTTATGGAGATTTTGCATAAAACAGACAATTATGATTTATGGTGTAGATGATTAGACAGGACAGATTATAGAAAGAAGAAAGACATGTAACTTTAGAGAAAAAGATAAGTTTATAATTATACTTACAACTGCTGTAAAGAAGATTGGAAGGCACTTCTTTGTAATGTGTTCTTTCTTTTCTATTTTTCTTTTTCCCTTTCTTGTACTATTAGCTTGCTCCTTGATTTCTTTCTCTTTTTCCTTTGCTTTTTTTTTTTTAAACAAGTTTTATTGATTTTTCAAGACAAACAAAACATATATAACCTCCTTTCCAAGAACTACCCATAAACTTCAACAAGACAAACAAAGCATTATTCGTTAAAACATAGTTCCACATTATCACACTTGAAGCAAAACATTGGAGAAAAAAAAAAAAAAACCTCCTTAGTTATCATTTATACATATCTTTTCCCAATTTCTCTCCCTTTAATTTCATTTCTCCAAGATTTTATTAATTTAGAATCAAACATAATCCACACACTAAACATAAAACATAAAACTTCTTTGAAAAGTGACTTGGCCCCAGGTTACATCTTTTTTGACAGACCTAAATCAAATTCATGCCCACCTTATATACCCTTCATATCTTATTAACCATTTTGTATTTTCTATATAACTTCTCCCATCTTTTCACTCTCTTAATTATATTTTATTTATTTCATCTTATTTCAAAGTCATTATACTTATGTCTTTTGTCCGTTCTTTAGTAAACATCTATGTATCTCTTCCCTTTAACCAAAAAATTTCCCCTGTAATCGCTTTTGAAGTATGACGCCTTCTCCTAAAATAAAACTTAAAATAATACATAATTTCCATTCTGATTCTGCTTAGTACCTTCTACATATTAAATCTTAAAATGAAAGAATAACAAACTTATAGTATAATTAAATGTATAATTTCTATTCTAATTCTAGTTCTAATAAGTACATCGTTTTAAAATAGAAAAAATAAAATACTAAAGTTATAATAATATTAAAACACTAACAAATTAAACTTTAACTAAGCATTAATCATTTAACAGATCTCCTAATATTTAATCAAATATCAACATCCATCATTATTAAACATTAATATTTCATTAAATATTCCAATAAACTGTTCCAAATACAAATACTACAATACTATCTTATGCACTCTTGCAGAATCTTCTTTAATTATAAGCTATCTATCATCCTTCATCTCTAAAGAAAAAACTTTTTTTAAAAAAATCTTGTCCTAACCCGTGGCTTTTTTTTTCTTTTTCCCTCCCTTTCTTCTCCAATCTGGTCTTTTTGCCCCCTCCTCTCCTCTCCCCCTTTTTAAGTTTCCCTCTCTGTTGTAATTCTCTTTTCAATTGCTTTCTAACATTGTACCTTCTTTTCATCCTATTTTTCTTTTTCTTGGTTGTTTTATTAAATCTTAAATTCTCCTTTTCCCTTCCTTCCTTCCCATTTTCTTTCTTAATCAAACTTTTTAGTCCATTAAAGATGGCTTCTTCCTTTTCTTCTTCTTCTTCTCCTTCTCCTTCCTCCAGTGTTTGCTGGTACGTAGAAACCGCCATTTCTAAAAAGTGGAAGGCAGCTCCCAAAGAATCCTTGCCACTTTGTTGTCTTTCTTTTAATTTTTCATATTCCATTTTCAGTTCATCAACCGGTGGTACCATTATAAGTTTTTTTTTTAAAAAAAACAACAACAACAACCCAGATGCTTTCAATCTTGAAGTAATTTCCAAATGTCAGAGTTATCAAACAATCCAAACAAGCAAAACCTTTTCCCTCTTCTTCTCTTTACAGTTTTTTCTCCAGAGGCAAAATCCCAGATATATTTTAAAAGCCGTATTTCCATTAATTAATGGTCTTGTAATCTTCAAGGCGTCTCCTCCAGCAAAGTTTAGGAAAAAAAAATTTTTTTTTTTTTTAGTCCTCCCCTTCCCACTTATAACAAAGAGCTTATTTTTACCTTTAGAGAGCAAGTTTTTCTGTGCTCCTTTGCTTTCTCCGTAGGGAGGGGGAGTGAGCTTTCCTTCAGCACTTTCGACGATGTAACAGATTCTTTTGGAAACAAATGTATCAATCCAAAGTCAGGTTCCCAGGGTGTTTTAAAAGTAACATCATGTCCTGGTTTAGCCAAGAAAACTTCTCCTTCTAAGTCTTCCTCCTGCACAAACTTGTCCGGTTGAAGAATCCTTCATGGCTGCCGAGACAGCCGCTCATCCGTCTCGTGAAAAAGGAGTCTAGCCGGCTGGGGAGGGGGGGTGCGATGTCCCCAGACCCCTGCTCGGATCTCCTCTGTCTTCCGCTGCCCCTTCAGGGTAGCGACAACCCCCAAATCCAGTTGGATCGGGGGTACCTTGACAGCGAGCACAGCAGGGACCCGCAGAGAAGCGGATTCCTGCCGTCGACGAAGCCTTACAACCCGGAAGTCCTCTTTTTCCTTTGCTTTTATTAATCTATTAGTTTTTAACCTTTTAAAAAACTTTCAATAAAATGTTTTTTTAAAAGAATGATCGTGCTGCAGCATATTGCATGTTGAAGATTTCATACATCATCAATCAACAATGTTTGCTTTTAACAAGGAAAAAAAAAATAAGATGGACCATAGTTAGATATTGTATTGCATTTGTTATAGATCATTTCTCTTGTTTATGTTTCTGTATATATAAAGTCATATCAAATTTATTCAGGTGGCTGCAGCAACGAAACACAGTGCATTGCTCCAAGCATGTAGTACTTTCAAATTGTTCATTGATACATACATATGTCCATGTATGTACCTACTCTAAAATGCTGTGAGGATTAAGGGAACCCTAATCACAATAACCTCTGGCCTGCAAGTTTACTGGCCTGATGCTTAGGTATTTGACCTGAATTCTGCCTTATTAGAAGCCTTATATGGATGGGGCTAGTAATACGATGAGATAAGAGCAATAGCACTTAGACTTATATACTGCTTCACAGTGCTTTACAGCCTTCTCTAAGCAGTTTACAGCATCAGCGTATCGCCCCCAACAATCTCGGTCTTCATTTTACCGACCTCGGAAGGATGGAAAGCTGAGTAAACCTTGAGTCTGGCGAGATTTTTCTTTTTATAATCAATTTTTTTATTTTGTTTTATACAGACACTCCATCTTTAGTTTAAACAGTGTGTCGTCTAGGTACAAATATCTTGTACAATAACCATTACAATTAGTACATATTCATTACTATTATATCATTACTCTATTCTTACTTCATACTACTACATATAATGTATCTAATTATAATAATTCTTAGCGTATTTAATTCTTATTCACATATTTACTATTTTTCGCTTATCTTCTTAGATTTTCTAATTTCCATTTTTATTCTCCAGACATTGATAAAATAATTCCCATACCATATAATATTCAGTTTGTTCCTTTTCTTTAATTGCAAGTGTTAACCATTTCATTTCTGCACATTCTAATATCTAATATCATTCTAATATTCTGCACATTCTCATCAGTCGGAATCTTTTCACTTTTCCAATTTTGTGCAAATACAGAGCCTGGTGAGATTTGAACTGCCAAATTGCAGGCAGTCGGCAGGCAGCAGAAGTAGCCTGCAATACTGCATTCTAACCACTGTGCCACTGCAGCTCTTTTAAAATTTAAATTTTTAATTTAAAGTAGTTACTACATTTGCTGCCTCGTAATCCTATCTGTCAAGACAGGGTAGCAAGGATCTGACCAATTTGCCTTCTGGTATGTAGATATTCTATGGCCAATTCCTTCCACTTTTTCTATTTTCTGTCATGACAGCTTTTTTATGAGTTGCCTTGATTTGTACCCAAGACTCCATGTATGTCCCCAAAGGTTGTTTTCCCTGTTATATGAAGGAAAGTGAAATAAATACAATAATGACTGTTTTCTCTTTAATGTATTTGTATCAAATTGGTACTTTTGGTGCAGTATCTGGGATATAATTGTAGAGCTACCCTAGACACTTTACTGCTTGAGGCAAACAAACAAGATGGTACTCTCCTGTCCTCCAGTGAGTTGATGGTAAGATAATCGGACTGTCATTGAATATTACTTCAAAGATGTAGATGTAGTAGACCAATTTGTAATGTAGGATAAACCCTATGGCAAGTTCAGTCCAGCAGAAAGGAATGACATTGATGGTCAAAAGGAACCAATGAGAGGCTAAATCTTCTATTATTTGTTATCTCAAGCAGTTTCATCGTTCTATCAAATGTAGCTTGATCTTGAATAATGTTTTGTGATGCATTTCCATGGGGACAATTCAAATGATAAAGGCTTCAATTGAATTGAAAATAAGGATTTAATTGAATCCCATTGAAGTGGAATGTCAGACTGAAGCAGCAACTCACTTTGATTTGTTCTCTTTGATTATTGTTGTATATTGAACTGCTTTCCTTTGATGATTCAATTTGGGTTTTTTTCAGAATACTGGATTGGATTGCTCTGATGCACCAGATCCAAGCAATCAGATTTTCTGGAGCAATGCAGTACTGCTAATCAGAATAATACTACACAACTTCACATAGATATCATGAAATAACCTTTTTGTATTAAAATTCCTCCCAGAGTAGAATCCATATTACCATTTTTAGGTGATTTTCTTCTTGTAATGCCTGGATATTTACACATTTAATTGCCTTCTCTTATTTAAGTTCGTGAAATGAGGCCATTTATCACCCAAGCTAAATCATAAAAACATTCCAAGCAAGAAAAATATATTTAACCTGAAAACTATCCTCTAAACTGAAGCATAAGCATATAATTTGGTGAGGTACAATATGTACACCTTAATTTTGGATGATCAATTGCTCATTAGATCTAATTAATTTAGGTTTTGCAGGTTGTTTTCTATGCAGTCTCCTTGCTGACCAGTGCATTCATACTAATGAAGAAACAAAGAACTGCCACGTTCATGATATCCTTTAAAGACTTGATCTTTAGTAGCTTGGTTTTTCCATTATCCACAGTAAGTTGCAATAATATTTATCAATGCAAGATTAATTATATGTGATATGACTTAGATAATTATTTGGATAAACAATAATTTGATTTTAAGTTAATTCCTAGTGTTATAGCAGGAGCAAATTGTAGCTGATACCCAGTTTAGTATATTCTTTCCAAATGTTTATAGGGGTCTTCGGAAGGAGTACATCATTTTGAAGATAACAAAAATGCTATTGTAGGGAGAACTTAATTCTTGAGTGAAGAACCCAGATCCTGTCATACTGAAGATACTCCTTTTAAAATGGAAGCTCATATGATCATAATTCAAGCACTTGGCAACTGGCTCACAGTTACAACATCACAGTGTTCCATGGTCACATGATGACCATTTGCAACCTTCACTATTGGCTTCCAACAAGCAAAGTCAACGAGGAAAGTGTAGGAGGTTGTAAATGGGAGTCATATAATGTCAGAACAAGAAGGTTGGCTAACAACAGCAACTGGAATTGCCAGAACTGCAGTCATAAGTTGGTGTGGTCATGTGATATTTTGCTTTATGACAGTGTGGCTTAGCAGTTGAGTGCCTGGTCCAAATTACTATAGTTAACCGAGGACTACCTTTTAGAAGGTCTCAAAGCCTTGTCTAAGTAAATCCATCACCCTCCCATTTCAAAAACAGTTGATTAAAAACCCACCCCCATATAAGTGTAAGTGTAGATAGTTTTGTTGTTTATTGTTTGATACCACTGATACCTACTGTGTAGATAGTTTTGTTGTTTATTGTTTGATACCACTGATACCTACTGTTGCTTTAAGAAGGAGCAAGAGAGGACTGGAGGATGATGGATGGACGGATGGACAGACTCAGACATTGTAAGATAGGTATATACTCTAGGTAAACATTCATCGTAAATTCTGTCAGTCAACACTTCTTTGCTTTGTCCTAGTTTGTGTTTGCTACATTTTGGAGTATGTACCTGTATGATCGGGACCTTCTTTACCCAAAATATATGGATTCAATTATTCCTGGGTGGGTTAATCATGGAATGGTGAGTAAAAAGAAACAGCTGAACATAACAAAAATAGTCAGAATAAGCTATGCGTATTATTCCAGCTAATTATTCAGATTTAGGTTCATTTGTTTCAATAGACAATCACTCACTTAATCTGTTATAAAAAAATAATGAGAAGAGCTTTAAATTGGCAGGATCATGGCCAGACATTGCAATTTTTCATTTGTAGAGTTCATCCTTCTCTAACTTTTCATACTATTATATGCTAAAAGTGGGAGTGCGAATTGCCAAAGAAGCCTTGAAGCTACTATTGACTTCACCTGAAGGAGGAGGACTTCACCTGAAGGAGGAGAGGTCGTTGCGCGCGGAAAGAGACAAGTGGAGAAAGAGGGAGGGGGGATCCCTTCAGTCTTGGAGGCTGCAGCTCAAGGGGGGTCCATGGCAGCCCCAGAAGGGACCCTCCACTTTCTCTGCTTTCTTCACCATTCTCAGCCAGGGATTCCCATTTTCCCCCCACTCTTATTTCCCCCCAATTCAGATCATCAACAGCCATTCTTGAACCATTGGTTCCAAGATGGCGCCCAACAAGGATGGTGAGGTTCTTGCTCCTAGAGAGCTTATCACCTTTTAGAACCTCCACTTTCACCAAGTCGCCTGAAATCATGCGCTGAAGCTCCCATGGGTAGCCAAGATCCCTTGGGAGCCCGAGATTCCCTCACAGCCTCGGTACCTTCCTCAGCTGCCATAGCCTTCCATCCCCGGGCCCCTGCAAAGCACAATTCCCCGGTGGCAGGGCAGGGCAGGGCAATTTCCCGGAGGTAGGGCCCTTGGATAATCTCCTGCAATCTCCCCAGCAGCCGTAACACTTGAGCCCTGAGCCCCGGTGGAGCGCAAATACCAGGAGGCAATTAAAGAGCCAGGAGGCAATTAGAGAGCCAAGCCGGAGCACAGCCATTCCCACTCAGCTTTCCAAGCCCCGGATAAATACAATTCCCCGGAGGCAGCCAGAAAGCCAATTGTCAACTATTGATCTCACCCCTTTCCTAAGAGGTCTGTAGGGGGCGTGCATAAGCGCACCAATGTGCCTACCGTCCCTGTCCTATTGTTTTTTATCTTATATGTATCCATTTCATGTATTCATAACTATGTTTATATTTACACCTGTTATCTTACAATTGCTTGACAAAATAAAATAAATAAAGCTCTGGAGGAAATGTTAGTGGAATTATCCTTGCCAAATTTAAATCAATAGAAAGATTTACATGAGCGGCAGAGATAACTTTTCTAGGTTTTATTGCAGTTCCTACGGAAGAGGCTTTGGTGTGAACCGTATTTATCTAAATATAGAAAGACTGGAAATAGAAATAATTATTTGGCAATATTTGGGAAGAAATGAAAAAGTCTATAGTATATATCTAAAGTATAAGTGTTGCCAACTAAGGTTTGTAGCGGCATCAAATGAGGATACTAAATGATTAAGTATACTAATCATTTATGAAAGCTGATACTAACGGTTATATGTATCTTGTATTGTAAATTCAAAGTTGAACTTGATATGCTATTAAGCAAAGCCAACCAGGAACAATATAGAGACACATTTTTTGCTAGTCAACGGCAACAATGCTTCCAGCAAAACAGAATCTATAGGCGTGTGCTTTATTGATAATCCATGGAGGATCAGTGTGTTAGGAAAGGTTGATACAATCTGAAGTCATCCAACAAAGCCAATCCAACAAAGAGAACCTTATCTGGAGTTTTAAAATCTTCTCTGTCATGGCTACTGGCTATTGATTCTTAACTCAGGATGATGGTATCAAATGACAATAATATGTGCCATGACCTCCTCTCTCCATTTTGTATAACATGCCATACAAATGTATACAAAATGTATCACACTTTCCATCATTAATTTCCATTATTCACATAGCTGAAAAGTTGGCTCTGTGGAAGATGATCAGTAGGAATGGGTAGAAAATGAAAACCTACATTTTGACTTCTGAATTGGACTGGTTTGGGCCCGTTGTAGCTTTAGCAGTTTTCATAGGCAATATACTTTGGCAACTGAAGTACTCAACTGGCACTAATATTAGAATGAGATTTAAGTCACTTATTCTAGAAGCTTACTTGGTTACTGAGGATAATAATCATTTTCTCAAAGGCTTGAGAGGTTATGATCACAAAGAGAAATTATTTATGTGTCTCAGGATATAATGTAAAAAATAATAAAATAATCTTTAAGCTGGTTTAGTTTACGCAGAGGCCCGAGTAACTATAAAGTACTCGATGGGATGTGCCACTGAAATAATACCACTGAAAACTTGCAGATTCTATGACCCAAGTCTTGTGTCTTCTGATACTGGAAACAGCTTGCTATCATACCAGTATTGCTGGTATCTTTTTAATTACAAAAGAAAAACAGAGAAAATAGAGCACCCCAATTGTGCAGTTGGCACTAAACAGTGAGTGAGATGGAATGATTCTTTTTTAATGAAAGAAGGGATGGACTGGATCATTCCCCTTTGGAGGATGTTGAAGAATTTAATTAATGGACAGCTTGCTTTGGAGAAATTGGGTCCCTATTGATGCTGTAGTAAAAAGAAAATGTCCACTGCCATCACTGGAAAATGAGGACAGATGCAATCCAAAGAATTCATGAATAAGTCATAGGTATTTTTCTTTAGAAATAGAATGACATCCCTCAAAAAGCAAATTATTCAATATTAATTATTCAAATTATGAGAGGAGCTACATGTGGATTCCTATGGCTATCATCTGTTTATTTCTTACTTTCAATTATCTAAACAATTTAAATTCATTTACAAACAAATGCATAATAGTGCTGAAAGCCAGTGTGGAGGGTACCAGATTGAGCATCTGCTACATTTCTGTTGGAAGCATCTATTCAAGGCGCTTCCAGTCTGAAAGGATTAACCAGTGACATCACCGTTGCCTAGGGAATGTCCAAACAAGCTCCTTTCACGTCCCAGGTATTTTCTCAATGAAGTGGCACCTATTTATCTACTTGCATTTGCATGCTTTCGAACTGCTAGGTGGGCAGGAGCTGGGACAAACTGACAGGAGCTCATCCCGTCACACAGCTGGCTCTTGGGTTTTGAGCAAGGCTAACTTCATAAATAAAAAAGGTGGCATGAAGACACCAAGTTTGTCAAATGAAGGTTCAGAAGATTCCTGAAGCTCCTTTCTATTGCTAAGCAAGATAGTTGTTAAGTGAGTTTTGTCCCATTTTCTGACCTTTCTTACCACAGTTGTTAAGTGAATCACTGCAGTTGAGTTAGTAACATGCTTCTCACACTTGTTAAGTGAATCTTTCAACTGGCAAAAAGCCAAATCCACTTGGATTATGCCATCCTTATTGCCAGTCTCTGTTGCCTCTGTTCTCAAGTCACTGCATTTACCTATTTCCTCCAAGGTAATACAGTCCAGCAGATTTTGTATTCTTTAAAACTGCTCTTAGATAATGTTAGAATAAGGAAGAAAACACTACCTTAACAACAGGTGCAGTTAAGGATAATTAAAGTCTGTCTCACTTATGGACTGGAAAAAGAGATGAAGGCATAAGACAGGTACTGCCAGGACATGTGGTACAAGTGGAAATGAGAAAGATCCTAAATCTGCATCCTAAAATAACCTGCAGCATTATGACAGACCTGCAGATACGGATAGTCCTTATTTAGCGTCCACAATTGGGACCAGCAACTTTGTTGTTAAGCAGAACAGTCACTATATGAAACTGCTCAGCTTTTCCTTTGCTTTATAGAACAGCAAAGGTTATAAATATATAAAGTTACTTTTTCATCATGGTCATAATTGAAGAGTTGCTAAAGGAGGCAGCCACTAAACAAGGACTACCTTGTACCATCATTGCAAACAAATCAAACTGTAAATTCCTCCCTTAGGAGTAACACGGCAGTCTGTCTTTGAAGAAAATGTTAAGCCTTCTGCTCAATATTTCACTGCACGTAAGTTGAATGTGCTATTAGCATTTCATAAAATCTCAGAGTAGCAGGTACTGAAACCTTTTTTTAAATGAATAAGTAAATAATACCTGTTATGATAAATAAATAAAAGCAAGGCAATACAGAACTCATCCTGAAAGAAAGTGTCTATGGGCAACTGAAGTAAAACTTCATGTATTTTGATTATTTACAGCGAGAGGCCTTGTTCAGATCAGGTGTTCCCTTTTTTTATTATCAGGAGGATTACTCTAGGATGATCATTTTCTCTTGTTGGTTTTTTATTTGTTACAAGTAAATGAAAAAGAAAACTGAGAATGAAAACTGTAAAAATGAGTCACCATCCCATTTTTATCAACCCTCAAAGATTGATGACAGTTGAGACATGAAGATTTGCTTTTTAAACAGTCTTTTTTTAAATTTGTTCAAAATACAAAGCTTGCATTTATTTGAATGAATGGTAAATTAAACAATATGTTATAGTGGAAATGAAGTTTAATTGGTTTTAATGGCTCTTGGTTTGCAGTTTGACTAAAGTTATATTAAAAATTGCTATGAGAAGGGACCGGTTTCCAGAGAAGAAAACAATGCATTTAAAGGGCTCTCAACTCGCTTTAAGCTGCAGTATATGGCCCATTACTAATGTCATTTCTACAGTCAGCTTTCTATTGTCTAGCAAAGGAATTAATTCAGGAGAACTAATTAAAAGCCATTGGCAAATAGAAAACTTTGCAATAAGTGGCCAATCATGCAATGATTGTGGTCTTTGGCTGTATCAACGTTAATCACTGTGAGCTAATTTGCTCTTGTAAACTGTATTGTTCTTTCACTGTATACAGTTACGAATGGATAAAACCAAAATGAGGCAAACTGAAATGATTTTTTTAAAATCCTTACCTAGCTGAGCTTTACGTTCCACAAACCTTTTGTTTATTTAGTTTCATCATTACCCATTCAACCCTTCACATGCCCCTTATGTAGTATATAAGTAATAGTATACTTTACTATCGGGGGTGTCAAACCGGAGATGTCACACACAGGCCACGCCCATCCCAGCTCCATGAAGTAATCATCATGTCACGTGACATTGTGTCGCCGCGAGTTTGACAGCCATGCTATCTATCTATCTATCATCTATCTATCTATCATCTATCTATCTATATCAATATACATACATACACTTTATCTATTACTTATATAGTAATAATACAACAAATATCTGATTTGTTAAAGTGAGTTCAGAAATAAAGAAAGGACAGTAGAATCTAGAAGGATGATTTTGGTGACTTCATAGACTCACTTGTATACACATTTCTGGGCAAACAATGATGGTTTGCTGTTTTCTTCTGGAATTATTTAACTCTCCATCCAAGTACTAACCAGGCTCAACCTGACTTTGTTTCTGAATCAAGCCAAGCCTGGTCAGTTGCTGCCATCTGTAGGTTTGGGATAGAAGAATTATAAAGTTTTTAAAAGGTTCCTTGCTTCTTTCAGAAGGATTTTTATTCTCCAATTGCCCTGACATATTCGTAGTGAATATGCCTTAGAACCCAGAGCAGGGATCTCCAACCTTGGTAACTTTTAAGACTTGTGGATCTCAGCTACTGGCTGAGGAATTGTGGGAGTTGAGGTCCACAAGTCTTAAAGTTGCCAAGGTTGGAGACCCCAGACCGAGAGGACTACAACTTCTCTTTGAAACTCTCCCAACTTCCTTCTTTTAGTTTTTCATTTAAAAAGCCAGATTAAGGAGACAAAGATGGAAGAGCTCCACATTTTTTGTTGTTGTTGGTACCTCTACGGATTCTTTGGAAGATCTCTGAACCATGCTTCCCTATATTCTTGCCTCTTACATCAAAATATAACTCTGTATTACTAGGGGGGCTGTACTTTTAATTTTTTGGATCACAAATGCAGTTTGTCTAAAAGCAGTGTCTTTTTTCCAGCACACTTTGATACTTCCTTTGACCCTGGTAGAAATGTTTGTTATCCCTCATCAGTATCCATCAATGGGTAAAGGCCTCAGCATTGTAGGAATGAGTGCACTGGCCTACCTACTTTGGTAAGTTTCTAAAAAATAAATGAATAAAGAGGTATTGTTTGTTTTTATATGATGTTTGGCAAAAAGTGAGGAAACGGTTCTGTTCCTCGTCTAATTAAATATCCAACCTCAGTGTCCTCAATGGAAGCAACTTCATTCTCTCTCTCCTACAGTGGAAAAAATCCTCAAACACAGCTACAGTGAACTCTGATCTGACTTTGAGGGACTTTGGAACTGCATTATACATCTTTACCTACGTCATATGAGGGGATAATCAACTCATAAACTTATTCAGATTATTCATGCTGGTTATCAAATTGCTATTCCATAGTACCAGTTTGTAAAAATCACTGCCTCTACTAGCTTTTCTGTTTTAAACTTTTCTCAAAACTTCTGTTTTTAACCAAGGATGGGAAACACCTCCTGGTCCTCTTGCTATTGCTAAAGTATAGTTCCTAACAGCTACAGCAAATGTAGCTAACGATGGGAATTGTAAATTGTGGAACATAGCATATTCCCAACCCTCCTTCAAATATAAAGTTTACATGAGTATTCTTCAACTTAGTACCCAGAAATACTGAACTACAACTTCCTTAGAACCCTGAATTATAGGACTTGTAATCCAACCAAGAGAATGCTAGCTAGGGAAGTTTATTTTAAAGGGTCCCCCCCACAACATGTATTGGCGAAAGTCCATAAACCAGATTAGAAGGAGGAAGAAGAGATTAGCCTAATAATGGTAGCTGTTATTTACATATTTGGTGCTTTAGGCCAGCCTAATAATCAACTAAATGAACTGGTTGCTCCAAGCAAGAGTTGCTAGACAGTGGAAATAGCATGAAGTGATCGGTGATAGAGTTGTGTCTTTCCATCAGCCTGCTGTACATCTCCTCAGATGTATTGGGTCATTCCCAGATTTGAAACACTGGTTGGCTTCTGCATATGAAATTAGGTGTTAACATCATCTTGTCCTTTTCTTTGATATCAGATATATTAAGATATATTTTTGCTGTTATTTATGAATCACAGGCAAGGGACATGAACAAGGGAGTAAAAGTTTTTAAAAATGTAGCTTTATCCATGCAATTGAAAACACAGAAAACTTAGGGGTGGGGTGAGTCTAGTCTTAGAAAATTTAATACTCCTCAACCTTGCCATCAGAAGACCCCTAAAGAAATATTGAATCAGAAACAGTCGTATTCTTCACTATAGGTAGTCCTTCTTTAGTAATTGCCTTGTTTAGCAACCAATCTCAGTTATCTCTAAAACCTATGTCATGAATAATTTCACTTCAGTTATTATATTAACTAGACCTCTCCACTAGCATAGAGCTTCAGTAAGGAGGATGTGGCGTGATGTCACATGAGTGACAACATTGAATGGCAGGCCTTTGTATGTGTAATGTGGATGTTTATATTGAGGAAGGCTTAAGGTATCAAAAGGATCACAACAGATCCCATGGAATTGAGGATGAGTTGATCCCATCTTCGGTGCGATCATGGCCTCTTTAGGAATCTTTCCAGCTGAAAGGCAGGAATATAAAGTCTATATTGGATGGATGGACGGATGACAGTTGCACAGTTGATATACTGATCCATTATTAGAGAGAGTATTCTAACCATAATTAAACTTGAACCAATTGATCATGTTTGTTTCATAATGAGATATCCCAACTGAAAGAAATTAATTCCCTTTCCAGGATCTTCTACTTTTTTGCTAAAACAGGAAAATGGGTATATCCTATCTTCAAGTTTTTAAGTCCACTTGGCATGATAGTGTTTTCAGGGATTGCTGTTGTCACCGTTCTTTTTAACTACGTGTTAGGAAGATTTCTCAACCGCATGATTTGGGGTGAGTCTAGCCTTGCAAATAAATCTTTTCAAGTTATCAGTACACCTGTATGTATTTATCTGAGTATGTATTGATCCAGGATTCTGTCGTTGTTTTCAGATGCGGGTTGATTTGTATATTTATTTACTTCTCCAAACCTTTCTCTCTCTCTCTTTTTTTTTTCCGGAGAGGGTACATTCAATCCTCTATACAAAATTTTAATTAGAAAATGAAACTTTAAAAAATAGCAGGCTGTGATAAGTATATTCTTCAAAAATAGGAAACATTCCTGTACTGTATGTTAACTAGCATATGAATATAGACTTTGCTAGGCTGAATTAATGGGCTAATCAGCATAAAACTACAAAGTTATGGGATCTAGATCAGAGGCTCCTGGTGTGTCCCACCACAGAGATATTCTGGGAAAATGGTTTAATTCTCAGCCAAGAATTTGTGGGTAACAGAAGATCCTTTTCCTAGTAAATGGTTTCTTCTGCTGCAGGTGCAATACTCTTATTTGAATATAATACTAAGCCAGGATTTGTGGAGCAATCCAATACTGGTATTGTTTACAGATAATTCCTAGACATAATGGGTAGATTCACACCTTGTGCTAAACCAAACAAATGCTTAGCTCTCCATTCACAAACCATGCTGAGAAGTGAGCAGAGGTAAGAATATCCTCTATTTACTAAGTCCCATTTCCACAATTTAACTTTTTCATCACATGCGAAAGTCATCAGCACTGCCAGATTTTGTTCAGGAGCTGCCAGTTGCCGATTCTTGAGGTTGTGGCGCCTCTTTGGCATACAGCAAAACTACGCTGTGTTTACATCTTCATTAGTCATTTCCCCCCCCCTTTTTTTATTCCTTTGTACAGGTGATGCAGTTCCAGTGCTTGATGTTCACAAGAAGAAAAGCAAATGAAAAGCTGGTGGTGTCATCCCAAGATCTAGATGAAACTAAGAAAATTGCTACAAAATCTCTCTGTATAAAGCCAAAATAAATTCTTCAGAATAACAAATTCTGCTAGCACAGGAACAAAGATCCAGAAAGTATTACCATTGGTTAGAGAATTCAGATTGTTATGTAGGATGTTCAGAATTCACTAAGAGACAAATATAACACAGATGACTAACATAATTTTGTCAGCCAAGTGCATAACAAGTGAGGCTAAATTCTAATTTTTTAAATTCAACTACAATTATAAATTTATTCAGATACATTTATAGCTATTTTCTTTATTCAACATGTGCCGATATAAATGTACTAGACTGTAACTGAACAAAAGTCAGTCACGTATTTTTTTTAATGAGAATTGGCTTTCTGTAATATGAAATCTGAGACTATAAAATGCTCAGTGTTAAATAATAGATACAAGAGTCCAGTAAGGCAGCTGAGGCCCACAAAAGTGGCTAGAATGAATTAGGATTATTTTGAGGATAAAATGGAATAACATCCGATCTTCCTCTTGACCTTTTTAGATGAGCCCAAGCTACAAATACAATAATTTAGAAATTTGTATACAGATTGTACTCACTTAATGACAGCAATTAAGATCGGAATTTCTATTGCAATAAAGCATGATGTCATAGGCTTAGCAATGGCAATCCCACCAGTTGCCATGTTGCTGTCGTTAAGCAAAGACCATGCGGGCTCCTAAGCGAGAATCTCGCACAATCAGGATTTCTGACTTCCTGCCAGCTCTTCCACTGACTCTGCTTGTGGGAAGACAACTGGGAAGGTTGGAAATCACACTTGCATCATGGGGCATGGAGGGGCATATTTCAACGATCGGACATCCTGGCTGGTTGCCAAGCACCCAGATCACGATCACCTGATAGCAGAAGTGCTGTGGCAACCAACACTTTGAGTACCAGTCACTGGGCACCATCATACATTATAACGGTTTCTGAATAAGTGGTTATTGAATGAGAGTTATCTGTTATTCCTTTAAAAACAATAAACACATAAAACAATCCAGGAATTCAGAGCCATTGAACTTGGAATGGGGTGGTGTGGTATAAATCAACAAGATGCAATTGAAATAACCTCTTATTTAAACAAAAGAAAATTAATGCTATAAATAAGTTAATGAATAGTTCTTGTATTTTGCATATTTATAAAGGATGAATAAGAAAGCTGGAGGCTTATTTTTAATTATTACATCATGTGTTTACTTTTAGATCCTGAGTAGGATCAATTTCAGTTAATTTACAGAAAAGAAATTATGAGTAGGTCTGCTTTTAAAAATTAAAGAGCCATAATAAGAAAAAAAAAGCCCAAAGAAAATCAAACTGAAGTGCAGTGTATTCCCATATAAAACATTATTTCAAAAACATTTATGCAGGATCTATAACAGTGAATGTACTCACCTGCCTTTTGACTCAACCATTACTCTAGAAAGCCATGTTTTATTCACAGAAAGCTGAGTGTGCTACTAACGCCTGAATGATAAACATTACAATACAGGTAGTCCTCATTTCATGTCCTAATGGAGACTGGCAACTCCCCCACTAAGTGAAGCAATCTCTAAATGGGAAATCATGTGAAGATAGTTATGCTTTCTGGCTCAAAACTGAGAAGACTACTAAGTTTCATGCCTTCAGTTTTTCTTTGCCTCCTTAAAACTATCCTGCTTATTGTCTTGTATGCACAGAAAGCAATGCGATCGCAATGGTAACCTATGTCTGGGAACTTGCAGCACATTACACAAACAGCTTATTCTCTCGAAATCTCTTCCCCTCCAATCTCTCTGCTCTGGGAGGAAGGAAGAAAGGGTGGGGGGAAACCCCACAGGTCAGGTACACGACAACTCATACTGATGTAATGGTGATCACATGACTGAGGGATACTGCAAAAGTCACAAATTGGCCATAAAATTATTTTTTTCAGCACCATTGTAACTGAATAGTTGCTAAATAAGTGGTTTGGGAAGTGATGACTACCTATAAAAGAGGAGAGATTGGAGCTCTTAGAGGAAGGTGGCATCTGTCTGCAATTTTTCAGATTGAATGCAACTGAAGACCTGATGCATGACTGCAAATTTCTGAGAGCTTCCTATTTTCTCTGCAATGTCAGGTCTTAATGTAGTTAAGTTACTGAAGGAACTGGAGAAAAAAAATCTAATAACACCTTTCAAATCTTTCAATTCTTCATTACTCTAAATAACTACTTTGTTGTGTTTGTAAAGCCAGGTGCCAGTAAATAGGATAAGAGTGTCTGCTGGAGCTGTGTTTCTATTTTTGATGCTGGATATGATGTATTGTAATATGGCAGTCATAAGACATTCCCCAGGAATTTTTTTAATTTCCCTTAAAATCCATCAGATGATTATCAACCCAGTGATGAGCAAACTCTATTGACTTCGCAAGATGTGTGAACAAGACTTTTATGTTTTCCTTGAAATTTATCATTCATTTGGGCTTCCGGTTTGAGCTTCTTCGATGACGGACCGAAATCTGTGATCATGCGCAGTTTCTATCTGTGCTTGCCACCGAAGTGCCCTGAGCCAGCTGGATTCGGGGCTAAGCCATCCTGTAGAGGTGGTTGAAGAGAGGGGAGACTGCCAGCAGGGTCGAGGAGAGCTGCATCTCTCCTCCTCAGCTGGCCATTACTCCCGGTTGCAGCGGTGGTCAGAAATGGCCACCTCAAAGAAGAACTCGACCGGAAAAGAATGTGCAGGGGGAAGATAAGAGAAAGTTTTGGTTGACAGGGTTAAACTGAAAAAGCAACAACGTAAGGTACGCTGGAATTTGAACTATAAAATATAACATTGCTCCCAAAGATTTTGAAGCAGCGAAGGAGAGAGGGAAGGGAAAGGATTTGGCTTTTTTTTTCCCCTTCCTTATACTGACAGCTAAGAGATTTAAGTAAGAAATTGACAAAAATCCACTTTGACATCAATAGGCATTTAAGCTGAAAATAAAATATCAAAGGGATAATAAAGACTTTTGGATACTCAAAAACCTTTAAAAGCAGGAAAGGGGAGAAAAGGAAAGAATAAAAGGGCGGGATTTGGAAAAATGGAGGAGACTGCCTGGAACTAAAAGGAACTTACAGTGAAACCTTAACAAGATTCCTAAAAGATACATTCTAACTGAAACTTTGTAACGAAATAATAGAACCCCAGGAAGAGAAAGTGGAAAAAAGAAGCAAGAAGAAACAGCTTTGGATTATTTGGATTACTTGGTGATTTTGGGATTTTTGGCTATTGGATTTAAATGACTAAAATCAATTGGGTGGTTGTTTAAAACTGTCTAAAATGGCATTAATTTTAGAAGAACTGAAAATGAAACTTAAAAAACCAAAAGAAGATGCACAAGAAGGAAGAGGTTCTTTTGGCTTCGTATTTCAATTTTTAGAAATGGAGTTATGGGACTATGAGAAACAACAAGAAACACTTGTAGAACAAGAAGGTTGGGACAAAGAAGAAACCATCTTTAATGATCAAATAATTTTATGTGTGCGGGGGGAAGGAAAGGGGAAAGAGAGTGAAAAGTTTAAGATTTGAAAAAACAACCAAAAAAAGAATAGTTTGAAAAATAATTACAATATTAGGAAGCAACAGAAGAGAGGATCACAGAAGAGAGAATTAGAAGTAGAGAGACAAGGGGGCAAAAGGGAAGGAGAAGAAGGAAAGGAAAAGAAGTTATAAAAGACAGAAACAAGATAGAGAGAAACGGAAAATGTATAAGGATTGAAAGTATAAGTCTATTTAGAGATAATGGGTGAACATTTAATTGAAAAGGATTCTGCAAAGGTACATAAGATAGTATTGTTATATTAGAAATAGAAATAATTTTAGAAAATATGAAACAATGTATGATTAAAATGGATAAAATACTTATTGTAATGCAGTGGAATGTTTGTTAATAAATTAAAGTGAATGAGAGAATGAAATTAGCAAAGGATGAGAATATTTTAATTATAATTTATAAAAATATAAGTGGAGAAATATGGAAAAAAAAGAATTAATTATGGAAAGATTTAAGTGTTCACAAGGAAGTATAATATTCAATTGAAAAGAAATGGTAAAGATGTTAAGATTCTAACTAATATTAATGATAGAATTGAATTGGAATGGAATGAGTGTTTTATTTACTATTGTATGTGTGTATACAAACATATATATGTATATATAAACATATATACACACACACACACACACACACACACATATAAATATATAAATATATATATGAACATAGTGTGTATTTTAAGAATGTACCAAGCAGAATTCAATTGAAAGTTATGTACTGCATTGAATGTTATAATTTTAAAGGCATAAATTGAACTTTAAATAGGAGTTGAATGGATAAAATTAAAAGATATAAAGGTGTCATACTCCAATTAGTAACTACAGGGAAAAATTCATTTAATGAGAAAAGATAATATGAAATTGAAACAGGACAGACAAAAGTATAAATATAATGATTGGAAAGACATTGAAACTTAGAAAAAGATATATAATTGAATTTAGATATGAGATAATTAAAAATAAAGTTGAGAAAACCAAGGGAGGGGAAAAATGGAGAAAATGTTAAAATAGTAATAAGATATGAAATAGAACACAAAGATGAATATGAAATTGAGTTTGTGTCTGTATGAAGAAGTAATAACCCAGGATCATGCTATTCTCAAAAAAAGATGTTTTATTTGTATTATATTTTTGTGAAAACCCAAATAAAATTTATATTAAAAAAATATATTATGCATTTGAATTTAATTTTTTGTACTCCTAGAATTTATAGATATGGTTCCACCTCTCCAGTATTTAGGGTTTTTTTTTAATTAAATACTAACTTTAAGGCTTTTCCAACCTTTTGATTATTTTGGCCATTATTTCTGCATCTTTTCCAGTTATATAAACTTGGTTATATAAACTTTTCCATTTATATAAACTTGGTTTGTCCAGCTGAAACAGAGTGCAAGAGGAATCTGATATAAATGTACACATTCTTAGTTTCTTCACAGGAATAAAAGCTCCTCATAGTATCTTTGTCAGCTATCTCCATAAAGCTGTGGTTTTTTTTTAAAGGAGTAATTCAAGAGCAACTGTTTAGCACCATCTATTGATAAAATGTTGGCATTACTTTTCAAGCAGACTTTCAGCCCATACATAGATTATTAGCAATGCGTACACCTACATGGTTATTTATCCTGAGACCTAGTGTCCATAACGGAGCAAGTACATTTATTTGTTTCTTTGTATCCCACTTTTATTACTTTTTGCAAATAACTCAAGGTTGCAAACAGATCCAACCCAGCTTCCACCTCCTATTTTCCCCACACCAACAATCCCGTGTGGTGAATTGAGCTGAAAGAGACTGGCCCAAGATCACTCAGCTGGCTTTTATGGCCTAAGGCAGGATTTGAACTAACAATGTCTTGCCTTCTGGCCCAGTGCCTTAACCACTAGACTACGGGTGTCAAACACGTTGCCGTCACATGATGTTTCATGATGTTTTTCCCCTTGGCACGGTCATGGCCTGCGCATGACGCAGGTGGTCTGCAGAACGCCAATTTGACACCCCTGCGTGACTAGACCAAACAGTATGCTAGCAAGGGTTGGAACATGGGAGGGAGAAATGGCTAGATAACTTCAGTTCCTTACCATTTCAATGGTGGAAGAAAATGATTCCTTTCAGTGAAAGTTGACTTCCTAATAGTCTCATGGACACATCCGTATAGCTTTCTTGGCAGTCACGTAGAAATCATTTTCCATGTGCATGATCCTCTTCTAGGATGTCTTTCAATTTCCCAAATTATAGCCCTGGATTGCCTTAGTAGTCTCTCACCCAATTATTAAACCAGGCCTGCCACTGCTCCCAGATTCAGTCAAGGCCGATCAAGTGCTGCCACTACTAAGACTAACTGAGAGCTACTTCAAAGTAAATAATTTCTTATATGTTTTCTATTTTTAAACAATCTAGGAAATAGGTTTTTGGCTAAACTATTTAAAATTCCTTGAATTCTG